ATTATGAATATAACCAATCGCCAATACTTAAGCTTCTCATGGAAAGTATCAGAAGAAATGCCTGAATCTCCTGTAGTTTATGCTCGCCGTCTCAGATCAACACACAGCGGGCACATCTCCATCCCCAATTGCAAGTGAGCATAAACATACACAGAATCTAGTGACCGCTTTACTGTGTTTGGTGATCCGTGGGCATGCAGCCAGTCTAAACCGGCTGGCCAGGTCAGCCATGTTTGTAATGGGACTTTTCAGGAAGTAGCCACACTAGAAGTATACCCATGTACCTTTCTTCAAGGTTTAAAAGCTACACAAGGAAAAATTTGACAAAACCCTCAATGAAGCCAGGCATCTGTGGTGGTGCAGCATTTCCGTAACACCAGGGATCTGCCTGCTAATATTCTCTCTCGGGAGAATGGCAAAGATGAGTCTTCATTTGTAACACCAGCAATCGCTCAAAGAAGAGACTGAACAATGAACATCCTCAAAACCTCCTCAGAAAACGGGTGATAGAGCACGAATTTTGCTGCTGTGATTGTTAGGGGCCCGCTTGCCTGGTACTTCACAAACAGTTACCACGACGATGCATATGGCAGAATTTTCAACCAAATAACTTAGTTGTTTAGTTTAGTGTAGTTGTAAGAGCCATCGTGTGCGTGGTACAATGTTTGGCAGCATGCCTGACCTCTACCCACGAGAGGCTGGAAGAACCGCCTCCTGCATTTGTGACAACCAGAACTGTACCCACCACTGTCGGGTGTACCTTGGAGCAAAACGGCCCCAGCTGAAAACCCCTGCAGCACAATTTATTTACCGCTGGACTCAGATAGGAAATACTCTGGGGTGCAAATCCACTCAACCAACACTCGCTACATTTATCTACAGGTGCCGTAATAGGCACGGAGCTTTCCGTCTAGCAGGAGAGATTGTCAAGTAAAGGAGGGGTTTAGACTCAGATTGCCTGGGTTTGAATTCAGACTGCCCCCTTGACTGGCTGCCTCTCACCTTAAACAATTACTTAATCCCTGTAAGCGTAGGTTTATAGATCTGGGAAATGGAAGTAATCACAGCACCCGCCATGTACAGCTGCAGGAATAGATGAGAGGATAAACGGGGATGTATTCTGAATGCAAAGGCCTTTGACACATACTGGCATTTAGCAAGTGTCCAGTAAATGCTGGAGGACGCAGGGCTACTGCATTAGCACACAACGAGACAACCGTAGTTGTGTCATCTTTCTCTCAACTCTGTTGGAGGCAGTGAGAGGGAAGATGTGCTCATCTGTCTCCAGTGACTAAGAGACAGGTTCACTCAAGATCCATGTGTGCACATAGGTGGGTACACATGGAATGCAAATGGTTGTATGGTTTTTAAATGTTCAATCTATCACATTCATGCTTTATTAAAATGCTAAATACAGAGACAGCAAGTAGCACGGTGGTTAAGACAGCAGGATTCCCACATGGTCAACTATGGTTCGAGTCTCAGACCTAGTTGCTTGAAAATCACTCTGGGTGTGTGTGTGTGTGTGTGTGTGTGTGTGCTCAAAATCCCAAGAGGAAAATGGGGGATAATAGCCAGTCTCCCTGGTGGGTGATTTCTCCCTTTCCATCTTTCTGTCTCTCTCTGGTGAGTGCATGCACCCTACAGGCAAAACTTAAAAAGAATAAATGACCAGTAAGTAAATAATTTTTAATTAAAGGAAAAGATACTTAATTCATTTTAAAGATTTCCTCTTCAAAATAAATGAGTTAAGTTTATTTTAATTCTTCTTAATGCTACCACCAGTTCTTACCGAACCTCAAGATTGCTTCCAGAGCCTATGTTAATACAGGTTTTCTTTTCTAAAGATTCAGGCCCAGCCATGGTGGTGCAGACAGTAGCACACTGACCTGCAGTGCCAGAACCCATGTGGCTGATGGCAGCTTTTCACCCGAGGTGACCTGAGACACACCAGCCCCACATGTGCACCTAAGATTCCGACCAGCTAGAGAGCTGGGGAAGGAGCTCGCACTGTGACCAGACCTGTTGGGTGACCCTTACCCATAAATAAGTAAAAAGTTTAAGATGTGACAGATTATTTAATGAAGGTAGGAAGATAAAAGGAAAAGTCATCTGTGATTTGAAAACTCCACACAAGGCGAGTCACATACTCGCCCCAGTAGCAGGAGGATGTGGGACGGCCTGTGAGCCTCAGTTTGGTGGCAGTCCTCTCTCAAGGCCTGGAACACAGTGGCCTGATGTGAACTCCATGGCTGCCGGCTGTCAGCTGGGGTGTCTCTGATTCCAAAAGCCAATCTGCAGTCATGGGGTCGCCACAAATAGACCTTCCATTTGGGAATTGCTGAGAGATGACCCAGAGGGGGCTGTTCTCCTGAGGCTCTTCTCATCAGGACGTGTTTGGGCCTGGCCTTTCCTCCAGGTGCACGCAGCTGTGGGCCAAGGGGCCTGGTTTTCAAAGTCGACCTACACGTACGCAAGCAGGAGTCATGGCCCGCTGTAGGCTTGGCTCGTCCCGAGGTCCTGGGCTTGGCCTTCCCTGAGAGT